ACGCCCCCTCAGTGGCCCATCATGCCCGCGCGTGCCACACCCCCTTTTAGTGCCAAATTATGTTGCTTGCCCACCACTCCAAAACAAAAAAGGAAAGATATTCTTTCCTTATTTTGTTTTAAACACTCCTCGGATTATTTTATTTGCTTTAGATTTTATTTAACAAACATATCTATGGTTAGAGGCTAATGTATGTCTCCAAAAGATCAAGTTAAATATAAGATTAGAATGTTGGTTATTAATAGTTATAATTGGATGTTGATTATCATCCATCAGCGAGAGCATTGTGTATATTGGACTCTCTATGAAGTAAAGTTCAAGAAGATTTTCAAGGAGTCATAGATAAGTAAGTGTTTTCACTCTTATAGCGTTGTAATTAACTTTTATAATTATGTTATTCAGACGTTTTAAACTATTAAAATCATTTAAAATGTGACAAAGCTAAACATTCTATCCAACATCACGCTAATACATCATAAAATTTGCATTAAAATCATCTCTGTGTAACTTATAAGTGTGTTGTTATTTATTTTTCTATTGAAGTATCCTCATCAATTGGGTTATGTAGAGTGCGGGTACGATGTGCAGAAGTATTTTGTTTGTTTGATATTAAGTTAGTCGGATTAATTTTTGTCTTAGTAGAAATGAAATACTAGAATTGTTGGATATGTTCCTGAATGTAGTTTTTGTTGAAGGACAGGTGGTCCCATTTATAATTAGAAATATTGGATGTTGCTAGATGTGGTTTCTGTGGAGGGACAGGTGGTCCCATTAAATTATAGTTATATTACATGCGTACAAATGTTGTATGTTGCTGAACCTAGTTTGTGGAGGGACGGGTGGTCACATTTCAATTATGTTACATGTATATAAATGTTGAATGTTGGATCGGTATGACAACACTAGAGGGGGTGAATAGTGTTGAAGATAAATTTACTAAACTTTTTTTATTTTAAGCACAAATCAAATAACTAAGTAAATTTTTTAAAACAAAATAATTTATGCACAATTAATAACAATTCAAAGTATAATCAAACAAATATTCAAGATGAGCACATCATATATTTGCAACAAGAGATGCTAAAAAAATTAAATTGCAATAAATAAAAAGTATAGGGATAGAGAAAACGTCGCACAAGCGATTTATACTGGTTTGACAAACCCCCGACCTACTCCAATCTCCAAGCACCTCCAGAGACTTTCCACTAAGACGATCCTTTTACGGGTTCAAGATCGTAAACCCGATCCTTTTACGGGATCAAGACCAAACCTCACAAACCACTCTTTTTACGGGATCTAGAACTGAACCCAATCTTTTTCTCGAGACAAAGATCAAAACCCATACTCCGTTCCATTTATCGAGCTCAAGAACGAAATCCAAATAAGTGTGTAAATAAGGATTTTTCACACACTAAAACTCTCCCAAAGAGTAGGTAAGAAGATGAAATCACAAACACTTGAAGGCTCTCAAATAGCAAGTAAAAACGCTCAATACACCCCAAAAACTCAAGCAAAATATTCAAAAAGTTCTTAAGATGTTTAGCTCAATGGTAAAGATTTTTTAGAATTTTTGGTGACTTTAATTTTTTTCAAGCTTAAATAGAGCAGAAACCAAAAACTAGCTGTTTGTTGCCACGTGTCACCATCTGATTGACTGAGGAAAATAATATTAAAATAATATGTAGTTGACTAGTTTGAATGAATAGTCAGTGCCACATATTGCTCATTCCTTGTACGAATTTGAGATAATTTTAATTTTATTAATAAATTAATAAATTCAAATTTACCCGGTCACGTGTCACACTGTGATTGGTCTGGCATGTGTCATAGCCACGTCAGCAAATAGATTCGTTGGGTGCCAAATCATCTGCCACGTCACATGCCAAATCATCAAATTTGACCATTTGACTGCCACGTCATCATTTTGTCACGTGTCCACGTCATCATCCATGTAGGATTTCCTTCTCAATTTTGTTTCGGCCATATTCTTCGTTTGAACTCTGATTTGAGCGATTCTAATTGTGTTGGATTCGCCTTTTCAAGCTATATACTATAGACACTTTGAAACACTAATATCATTAATAGATTACATTTGTTATCATCAAAACATATGATATGATTGAAGCTCGTAAAGCCAACATTGAATATGTTGCTGAATGTAGTTTATTAAGGAACAGGTGTACCTATATACATATTATGTTTAAAAATGTGTTATATGATATCGTATTTCAGGTGTCGTTTTATGATGTTTTAGTAGAGGTCATGCTGAAATTTTGATTTTTTTTGTTTGAGCTATGTTTGATGAATGAGTATTGGATCTTTTTTATTTATTTATTATTAATTTTTAGGAACTATTGAGTTATGTGTAAAGATAAAAGTGGTTGTTTACATGTACACATTCTTTTGGATAAGTATTTGCATTAAAAAAAAAACTATTGAGATTTGTGCACAGATTGATAAATGAAAAAAAATATTATTAATTAACCCACGTGAGCATCCAACAATTTTTTTAAATTAAATTATTTCCCAAACAATAACAGGCATTGTCTCCCATTGAAAATGAACATTTAATGACGAACATTCATTTAATGACGGATATTAAACGACATTGTATGCTACAATAACACTTGAATAGATGTCAGACCATAACCGACATCATAAGTGACTGTCATTGTAGGAAAAATAGCAGTCACCTACAATAACAGGCCCCACCCGACATAAAAAGTTACAATAACACTCAAAACGATGTCAGACACGTGTCTGATAGGGGTGTACACGGGTTGGGTTGGGTCAGGTTAGAGGGGTTTTTTGACCAACTCGATTTTTTTGGTTGGACAGTTATTGGTTCGATTGGGTTGGGTTATCAGGTTTGACAAGATTTTTTTTAGTACAACATGTAGGGATGAGGGATCGAACTCACAATCTCTTAATTGGAAGTATATGACAATTACAGTTGAGCGATGCTCGCTTTGACATTTGAAAGGATTTAAACCTAGATGTGAAAAAAAAGTGATACCCATATGTGATAAAAAATAAAAATAAAAAGCAGTGAAACGTAGATCTAAAAAAATGTGAAAACTACCATCTACTAAAAAAAATAGTGAAACATAGATTTAAAAAAATGAACCAAAAAAGGAAATTTAGATGAAAGCCACATAT